AATTGGATCGGCTTAAAGCAGCAATAGCTTAAAAGTGCCTAGCTTCAGCCAACAGGAAGTGAATTGTGTTTCATGAGGCCAACGCCAGAATCAGATCCATTGAGAGTTACTTTTCAGAAGCTCCGAGAGCTTGATTGGTAGGTTCTTATGCATTCACATCACAGGCGGAACTTCGCACTTAGTAATTACAATCTCTTTCTGTCTAGGTCGAATTATTTGGTTGGTGAAGAATTGATCTCAAGAGTAGCCTTTGCAAATAGAGGTATAATGACATTACCGTCAAAATACCAAAAAATTATCGATAAAAACGGTGTATATTTGCCACAACTGTTTTTGCAGCCATGCTATAACATAGTTTTTGATATAAGTATTAAGTAAACTAAAGGCCTGGTTTGTTTGCATGAATTGAATATTTTGTTATACAGCAAAGAAAAATCGTAGAAGTGACAGTTGTTTCGAAGACCACCACATCTTCTCCTCAGACTTCTTATGGCAGGGATCGCACCAACGGATCCTGACTTAACAGGCGAATGTAACCACGAAGCTTCTCTTCCAATTTGTGATGTACGTCTAGATATTTTACCAACAAAAGGAGGGTCCTAAAGTTGACACTAAGCTTACTCCGAATGGCTGATGGCTTTTTTTTTTATGTATAGCCTGTATTTTATGTCAGAAATACACTTGGAGTGGTTGACATTTTCTGCCGAAGGGCAAACGCAATTGGAAAATTTTTCATAATTTAATTTTATTAAATAATTTTTTTTATTCGTTGAATGTTGGTTGAACCAGGACTCGTGCCCTGGTGTTACGAATTGCTTTACGCACTACTTTCCACTCCGTTAATACCACCGCCACATTGAACATGAAGAACAAGTTAGTACAAGAATGCAAACTGGTTGGATTCTAGCTAACAAATAATATTTTTCCTGGCAGGATATTGAATTCTATACACGAGTATGCATTAGCGATCCCATTCATAGTGTGTTGGGCTTTATGAATACATTAATTTAATATATTCAAGATTGCTATGAACGAACGTACATACGTATGTATTTACGTTATTTGCATGTTAATATGTTAAATCAATTAGTTTGATGAGAAAATTTGTGTACACTCAGCAATTTCCCTTAAGCCTGCACCACGACCACATACAATTTCCACTAAGCCTTTGTTTCACACAATAAATGAGAGAGATAGCTGTGTATCTAGGAAACCAGTCAATCTATCCCGCTACTTAGTAGGCATCTTCGACAGTTACCCAAATTAGAAGAAAATAATAACAATGAGGTTATTTCCATATTGGTAGAGAGTGCTTAATAAATGTAAATTTATTATGGGAAAGGTATTGAATGCTTAAGTGGGGAAAGAAATGAGTTTGTCGGTCCAAGTATAGAGAGTAAAAGACACTGGCAGAGAAAGCTTGAAATATGGTCGATAGAAAAAATGCTCGGGATGATACAAGTGTTTGCATTGTGTTTCAAGATCGATTTATATTGCACAATAGTGATATTTTAACCGTTTTCTCTAGCATGTTGAGTTTGTGGAGAGTCCACATATCGGGCAGGGCAACTAAAAAGAGTGGAATTCCAAATCAATGACAAAAGAGTTCACATTCGTTCCCTCCCATATGATTAAACTGGATTAGTTATAGTACATCTTAAGGGCTAACAGCGTGCCATAAGCTGATCTCTTACTGACTAAACTATTCAATAAAGGCCGTAAGGACTTGGCAAAGTGCATGCAGAACATGAGTATGGCGGACATGGGAAAAAGTGTTCTCTCTCAACCAATAAATACCAAACTCCACAATGCACTCATCATTCTTGTAAGATTTATGGTCCTTTGCGCATTGGCAATGAAGAGTAACGCAATTAATGAAGTGATTAGCTGTACAAGATGGTCGTATAATATATAATTGGCACTTTGTCACCGTTGAAGCGAATTTCGCCCAAACTCCTCCTCTAATTTGTGGTTTTGTATCTTAATGTTTTTCTAGCAAATGGAGGGACCTACAGTTTATACTAACCTCTCTCCGAACGGATGACGGTTATTTCATATCAGAAATACTCACTTGGCGGTTGCCGAAGATTGTCATAGTTCAGTAAATTAAAAAAATAGCGACTAAGCTGGCATTTGGCTGAGGACACTACGGCTATCAAAGTAAGCAGAGAAAGAGGACGAGCTTCACTCCAATGAAAAGATCAGATGGCGAAGGACCTGGTTACTTCGATTGGTGTGTAGGAATGGTGCACAGCTGTCGACTCGGCTATAATTGCGTAAGCACTGCCTGCGTCACTAAAGAAGAAGAATAATTTTAAGGTGGTAAGCATTATGTACTGCCATTCTGAAAGCCAGAGTTCGGGCACTGGTTCGAAAGTATAGAAAATTAATGTTTCTTATTGCAGTCGAGTTCTCCGTGTGTATTTCTTACATGAAATAAAAAGCTCCTCATAAGAATCCATCGGCCTCATGGAGGCGACTTAAAGTCAACTGTAGTCATCTATTAAAATCATCTCTGCACGAATATAATCCAAACTTGGGGTGTAGAAGAATGGATGATGACAATGTGTATTGTTGAAAAAAAAATGGCTGGATTCATTCTACTTATTCTAGCTTCTCAGCTTATCGTTCAAAGAACCGTCTAAGAATAAATATTTATGAACTGAAACTTTACAAATACAAAATATAAATTCAAAAGCAAGAAGAAATTGTTAAGCAAACCGCGAATAAAATAAAAAATGAAATAAAAGAATGGTTGAGTTCTTTTCTATTTTTTGTTTTTTTTTTCTGCAAACAATGGCCATCAGTCAAACATAATTGAACGGAAAAGTAAACAAAAGAGCGCAAAAAATTTATGTAACTATAAAAGAGCAATTTCGCTTGTTGGCTCAATACACATGGTTCAGTTCATAATTCAGTCCGACTCACACTAAAGCCAGAAGCGAATGGGGCGGTGTTGCAAGGATGTGCTGGTTATGTTTGTATGTATGAGGCATGAAATCACGGTAATTTGTAGCTGGCTAATGGCGTGAGCAAATATGTATAAAAACCGAAAGTTATACATAACAGTTCAAATACATACATATATATGTGAAGGTTGTTCTTTCAGGTGTATGATTTTCAATGGGTCAACACCTACTTCGCTGTTGGTCTTCTTAACTTATACTCAGCTTAGTGTGCCATTTCATAATGAGCAGACTAGCTCTGTGCAAATTTTTTACGTATACATATAATGGTGCGGTTCTCGCGACCGATCATGCTCTGCGTCTAATATTCGGTCGACGTAATTGCCCAGTAATTTTGGTACAATAATTGGCGCAACTGTAGATTGGTTTTGCACCACGTTTACTCTAGTAAATAATGTGCAACCTCAGAAACGACGTACTATGCGCACCGAAGACACTATAGCTGCTTTGTGTAGTAGAAAAACAATGAACACCCGATTGAGTCCATCCCCTAATCCAAGCAAAAATTGGAGCTGAATCCATTCTCTTTATGGCAGATCTTTCGGAAGGATCTTGGCTTGGGGGTTTAAAAAATCAAACTCGTGCAAGAATTGGTGGTCTCATTGGAGTATACAATTCGCGTCGAGCAGCTAACAGGAGGAGCGACTAGCACATTGTTGTTAACTTCAATTAAGGATAAATCTACTTTTTGCAGTTCCTTCATTATCTAGATGAGTTTGACCTGGTCCCTGTTATTAATCTGCTGGGATCCTCTTTTTGCTGGAGAAGAGAGCATCCATACTTTGTCTAGAAAAAACCGTCTCGTGCAAGAATTGGTGCCGAATGACCATCAAGCGCGTTGCACATTCTGTGAAGGACCCAAAACGGGATGACGCAGCTCTCTTTTGCTTCAATGGGCTTTCGGAGTGATGATAATTCTAAGTAATCCTAAAAAGTCACTGTTTGGTGTACTCTATGGGCAGAGGGAATCTTTGGACAATATTTCTTCATAAACAAAGCCGGTTGTAATGTGACCAGAATGTGCTACACAGCCATGATTAGAGACTTCTTCCAGCCGGAATATGAGACAGTTTAGGTCGATGACCTTTGACCTTGACAGATAACTTTGGGTGACCGTATTATATTACGTCGGGGGCCTGTGGCGTGATCTCTAAGATCCTGCGATTTAACACCGCTAAAATTTTTTTTGTGGGTTAGATGAAGTCGGCAATTGGCGACCGCGGCAGCCGAGTGGTTAGCATTGCGTACTAACATTCGGAAGGCTCGGGCTCAAGTCCCCGTGTGACCAACATCCAAAAGTTATGGAAAATTAATTTAAGTAATAGATTAAGTTAAATTTTCTAATTGCGGTCGGCCCTCGGCAGGGAATGGCGTGGACATTCTGAGTGTATTTCGCACATGAAAAAAAGGCTCCTCGTAAAAAACTATCAGCCGAAAGCGGTTACAAAGCGCCAATTATATTATATAGATGAAGTCGCTTATCTACGCACGTAATCCTGAGGCGATTGATGCCTTGAAAGATAATTTTCGGCGCCTTTTTGTTGATAAACGACCAAAATTGTGGCAAAAAGTGGTCGAAAACTAGAATCAGAATTTGTTCGCGCCAACCGCGGGGGTCACTTAACGAAAATTATTTTTAAAACATAATAGCTAAGCCGTAGTCTTTATAAAAAAAGCTAAATTCTTGGTCATTACTTTGTAATAAAACGGTATTTCTCCTCGAAAACCACATGCATAAAAAACACCCTTTATGTAAAATTTTTTTATATTATTTGTGTTAAACATGTTCTGCATGCAAATGACGCTAAATGATTTTTGTGCTATCTGTATGTATTTTCTTTTATTACAGCAACAATTATTTATTTGTAGATAAGGCTCACAACCTACTGAGTATTTAAAATTAAAATTTTGGTACGGCAGGTCAATTGCAATAATTTTTTTTAATTAAGAATGTCTATAGGATCTACCAGGACTGCCAGAACTAGAGGGGGAGAGGGAGAGGAGGGCACATTCAAATGTTCATATAAAACTTACCACCTGTATAAATCTTGTGCACTGGCAGCTAAACTCAGGTTCCCCAGCAGTGGTGGTCGCTCTTTCAGATGATGATGATTCAATAAATCCGACGATGACGCCAATCTGTAGACAAGAGAAAACAAAACAAAGTATGTAAAATGTAAGTAAAGTATTGCTTTTCTTTCTTCCCGCTATTGACATAAATTAACACAGTGTTTCCCTCTCTCTCTCTTTCTCTACACACCTCAGCTGCGGCGGCTTAATACCATGCTGATCCAACGCCTTCTCCAATTGACGTACACGCAAACGTGACATGTCCAACTCATGCTTCACCTTCCATAAATGCGTATCACAAATGGGATCATTGCAGCGATGCTTTTTCAGTATTTCCGTTGCCTCAAAGACGGCGCCGCGAAATGTCAACGCTTTACCCATTGACAGTGAGAGTAATGCACAGCAATGACAGCCATCTTTTTTGGCCAAACGTTTGCGTACATATTTGAAATAGATGTGTTCGAGTAGTAGCAGTAATGCGGCAAATAATATTCCAGCCATTAGCAGTAAGAAGGCTGATAAGAATTGCTCTAGCGCCAGTGGATCGGAAGATTTATGCTCTTGTTTGCCCGGTCGACAGGTGCCCGTCATCCAGTAGCGTCGTAGGCGCTCCAAATCACCATTCGCTCGAAACTCCAACAGTCGTCTATTGAACATTTGGACGTATTTTGAATTGCGACTGAAGGCGAGACCGTAACCTGAGGATGGAGAGGAAGGAAGAGAATAAAGGGAAAATTAAATTCTTTTGCAAAGAAAATTTTAATCGGAATTTTGCAAGATTTTATGGCGACCGAAAATTATATATTGAGTGAGAGCAATTGTCAATTACCTCACCATAACTCAGAGACAGATCTAAAATACTCTCGGATTACAAAAGCTTTTGTTGCAACATGTCATGTTATTAATCTGCTAGGATCCTCTTTTTGCTGCAGAAGAGAACACCCATACTTTGTCTAGAAAAAGCCGTCTGTCCTATAACTCTCTGTGTCCTGGGAAAAAAGCTTCCGAAAAGATCCACGATAGCCTAATTTTAGATGCTGACCCCTCAGTGTTTCTGTCCCCATAAGCCAAGCGCAGAGAGCGATAAATCAAAACTTAAAGTATACTGCAAGCATTCTTTAAAATTTTATGAATCATTGAAGATTACTATTTGTACTTCGCTGTGTCAGATTTCTCTACGATATATTTTGTTAACCTCACGTCAACTGCATTTCCTGTGTCAGATCTTCTATTGGTCAAAAAGTTCGAAAAAAAACATTTTTTAAACCTATAAGACACATATGGGTCAATGCAGTTGCTGTCTAATAGAAACCTAAGAAAATTGTGCAAAGATTTTAGGAACAATGTCAAGAAATAGTTCGATCCATTCCGATTTTCGGCACACTGGTACCTTGTACTCACCTGTCATGGCATACCAGCTGCCGACAGTCATTAAACGGCAGTCTTCATCCTGAGCCACCAAATAATCCAGCACCGTGCCATCATAGATGAATGAGTCAAGATTACCATTAAGTACGGCGGCTACGCCCTCAGCGACGCTTGTTTTATTGTATCTAGCGTGGAGATAAGAAAGCCGAAATAAGACACTTGCAGCACTCTTTTAGGCACACAATACTCACTGTCTCATGTAATGATGCATTTCCTTAAAATATTTATGTATGGTTGAGTCGGTGTGACTATATGGTATGGTGCCGAATTTAAATGAGGGCCTATGCGAGAAAGGATGTACCAAACGGCTGTCATTCAGGCCGCTAAATTCATGGAATTCTTCTCTGTAAAAAAAAAAAATAAAACATAAAAAGTACAAGATTTGAAAGACTTTGTAGCTTAAGGAATCTTTTTTCCTCGTGAAAACTCACCGCGTTATCATGAAGGCAGCCAAGTTAGCAGTGTAGATGGCCAAGAAGACCACAGCGAATAGAGCCCACACGTTCGTCATGAAGCGTGAGGTGAAACCGCGCGGTGAGTCCACATGTACGGCCGCCTGAAATAGTACAGCCCACACGAGCCAATAGGTACGACATAACGAGAAACGATATGGCGTGACGCTTGTATTTTGTAGATAGAGTTTCATATTGTAACCACTCGGTGAGAGCCACTCGAAGAGGAAGATCATAAAAGTGGCAGCATGAATGGCCACAATGCCGACCTATTATTATAATTTTTTTTATTAATGCAAAAGAGAATAATATAAATTTTATTTTATTTTTTTTTTCCGAAATCAACAACTTCACTTACCAACATCCACGACGCTGTATCGAATGGTTCTAGAAACGCTGTCGGCGATATAATACCCGTACGTTTAGCCACCACTATCGCAATGCCCGTCTCCATGAATGGCTCACTGAAGTCCACCACAGCTTCGCGTTCGGTATTGATCATCAGCGATGTCAATACCATGTCGGTTTTACGATTTACCAAATCCGCAATCAGCCCATTCCATTTACCATTCTCAAGTGTACCCCACTTACCATCTTCGACCCGTACCAATTCGTATGTGAAACCCAATTCTTCGGCAAATTTTTCCAGCAGATCGATGCAAAAGCCACTACAACACTGATAGAACGATTCATTGCGATGCGCTTGCCCCACATCAATGTCAGCGGCCATCTCATGATCGGCCGCGACCCGACAAAGGACGCCGCGATCCATTAGACATTTGCCACTGATTGGGTCGGCGGGTGAGAGATTGATATAGGGTGCCTCTTCGAGGAATGTTATCTTTAAATGGAATTTTTCGGGTACACCCTGTGGTGGAGCATGCGAGTTACCCGGCCAGGCGATGTCACGTATATCGAGCTTTTGCGTCTCCCACGATTTCCAAACACCAATCTAAGCAGTGAAAAGTAGGGGAAAGTCGAAAAAAACAGTAAGAGCAAAGAAGTGCAGAGGATTGAAGAAGGGAAATAGTTGTGTGTAGGAGGGTAATAATGCAAAGTGTGGATGTGAGAAAAGGAAAAACGAGGTTTGGAAATTTTGTTAAAAAAAAAACGAAATTCAATAAAGGTAAGAGGCGCTAAATCGAATAGCCAAATATGTCAAAGTAGCAAATATAGTTAAGGAAGGAAAAGCGAAAAGAAAAAAACAAAAGAGTGGGAAGTGTGGTGCAAGCAAAGCAAAGTGGTGTAGTTCGTTACACTTACCTCCTCCCAAACGAGATTCTTGTTATTCGCACCCGGACGCAAATTCATGATTTTCAGTTCAGCTGATTTGAGATCGCCATCGGCAGTGAATTCAATATTGGGCTTATTTAGGTCACCCTCAATGGATACGTTGCGTAAATAACGGAAGAAGCTATGAAAAAAATTTAATTTTAATTCTTTTTGTTATTTTTAATTTCGTTCAACTAAATCTTCTCTACTCACATTTCACCATTATCCCAGCGGCCGCGTCCCTCATCCTCACACGACAACGATTGCGTTGTTAATCGGCGCCCCCGATTTGCCGGATCCGTTAGATAGGCTTCCACACCGAAGGCATAAATTTTAATCGCATTCGATATTTCATTCATCAACGCCGCACTACTCGTATCAAAGTGTACACCCAACATACCGATGGGAAATTGTGGATGTGCATCCTTCTTCTCGATAACCGATTGACTAACGACCCACACATAATTTTCGCCAGTTAACTTCATCTCTTCAGCAGCTCTAAGAATAGTAACCGCTTCGCTTTGTGTGGCATAGAGGAGCATCACTCTAGCCTCGCTATTCACTAATTCCATCAAGTCGCTGGTGCGCGTTACCACAATCGAATTGAGTATCGTGAATTTGAAATGGTCTTGCATTTCGGCGACACGCTCCCTTACAGCCTGTACAAAATCATCATGCCCGGCTATTTGAGAGGTGACAACCGAAAATTGATGCCATTTGTAACGCTCTAGAATGCTCAACATAGCAGCACTTTGATGTTCTATACTTGGAGCTAACTGAAGCTGAAGTGTTGATTGGGAGGCGCGTCGCTCCAGTCCCGAATTGTCGGCATTCCATGAGATGACCGGTATGCCAAGATAGCCGGCTAATTGTAGGAAATACTGTGCTGAGGCAGTGCTATGACCGAACTGTTCATTATTCATCATATAAAGTATCGCAGAGACGTTCGCCTGTAGGAACTCTTTGCAGAGTGTACTCAATATGGCTGTAGAGGGTAGCAGAGATATGTGGAGTTTGGTGAGCGGAAAAGAGAATGAAAAAATTGCAAAGGAAAATATATTAGTTTTGGTTGTAAAGTTGCTAATGATCAATTTTTTATTTTATTTAAGTTTCTACGAAATATAAATCTTCCAATTAAGGCAATAATGATTTCGGGAGATTATATGAAGATAATTTCAATTTAGTTAATTAACAAAAATCATCTGATTAGTCAGTTAATTTGGTGGTTGCAATTAATTTAATTAATTAATTAATCAGAAATCTTTTATATTAATAATAATCTAGTATTCCATTGGCTTGCTTTATGAAAGGAAAGCACACTACCTGTGAACTTAGCTAAAAACACTCATTCAGTGCTTGAGAAAACTCTCAAAGTATTCTAAAGTCAGGGTATTAGAACCCTTAGTATAAGCATCCCTTAATTTAAATATACTAATTTGTCATACCTATTTTTTTGGGAAGAATCTGACAGCTACAAAAGGGTTAGACCGATGACAGAAAGGACAAAGGCTTGCAGAGAAACTATCATGGCTTTACAGATGGTTCTAGAGTGAACTATGAAAGAACAGGACTGAAGTTCATTGCTCCTAGACAAAATATTACAAAAATGGTAGCAGAACAATTACAGAAATGCTTAAACGAATGTCGGCTGGCTAGGATAAAGCATTTTCGATTTATTGGGCATTCACAAAAAACATAAATTTTTGTCCGAAGGGTAGATCCACTGAAATTCCAGTTCACTCACGAACTCCAAATAAAGAAAGATCTCTTGAACATAAGGAATGTATGGCTGTTTTTCTGTAAATAAAGGGAACATTTAAGAGTGTCACCAGTCAGGCTATCGTAAACAGTCTGGAATGCATACTCAGCAGAATATTTACGATGAGTGAAATAAAGCCAGACTGATTGGGGCAAAAGGGAGAGGGAAGCCAGTAGATCGTGTAAACCCTACAAGAGCTGCTCACAAGTGGTTGGCTAGTGTAGTATTTTCTAGATAGAGTTCTTCGTAGGGGAAACCACATCTGAGTCATTCACATAAACACTCATCGTATTACATCATCAGAAAATGACATTAGAAGCATTAAACCAGTAGATAACATAGTTACAGAGAAGCAACTGTATATCTACTGCGTTTAAAGTCACAAGAGAATATTTGTTAACAAACCAGTTTGATACCCCGCTGTTTAAAGGTCTGTAGGAAGTATAAAATTTGGCTGCCAAGACCCTCTTAAACTTCGCAATTCCTTTCTGAGGAACGCAACAAGCACAAGAAACGCTCGTATGTCGTCGTTCTAAATTACTTTTGGAGTAGGAAAAATTAATAAAATCTTATCAGGGATAAATGAGTCAGATTCCAGGCCTGTTGGCGTTGCATACCTTCAAAGTAGGTCTGGGAATGCAGTGAATATGCAGGGGCAATAGATAACTCTCCAAGTTTTAGGTCTCTAAGATTAATGATTTAGGCTGTGAGTTGGTGGATTCAGTCGTTTAGGACAAAGTCTTGTTAACCTACGAAAAAGGAGGTTCCCTATTCATCCCGTATTTATTTTTTTTATATATGATTGAGAATAACTCTTGTTAGAGTTTTCCGACTTTGATAACTCATGATTGGAAAGGGTATAGCTGGAATCTGCTCCAACGGATAGTTTAAAAAAATAGCTAGAGCAGTAGTAGAGGTAGGATTATTCACTAATTTCAACGTATAATTTGCCATAACCGGTTACCCTTGGTTCTATTTTGTATTAAAAAAAATAGAGTTTTTTATCTTGAGGGAGTGTCCAAAATATTCCAAACCTAAACCCGACCCTACCTCACGTCATGATTAAGAACATCATTTTCTCGTTACGGATGGACTCAACACTTTGTCGGATTTTCTGGAGAACAAGCTCTACTCGCAGTTGAGGGATAAAGGTATATGAGCAAATCTAACGTGGCTACGTTTCGTGCTTTAAGAAGATAACTATTGTAAGACTTGTGCATTCTCATTTTGTTCTATCCACATTAAATACCCCTACTGTAAGTGATGGTGAAGTCGAAGACCTGTACAAGTCCGTCTCACACAACGACTGAAGCCAGCTGTACATTCCAGCTGAACAACAAGCAGGGATAGCGATTTTTTGTAAACAAATGTTATCCAGCAACGAGGAACATTTCTCACTAGGAAGATACGCATATAGACAATATTGTCCCATCGGGAGCTACGAGAACCATCGCGTTGACGAGAGCCTGTTACACCATTATGTCTTTGCAAACGACAACGGCGCGACTGTCATTGTCAACTCGGAACGTTATGGTGCTATGATAACCGATTTTCTTTGGCCTTCATTTGCAGAACACGACTTGGACAATATGTGGTTTCACCAAGATAGTGCCACATGCCACTTTCCATACGAGCGAAGATGACTTTATTGCGAGTGAAATATTCCGGCCGTATAGTCTCTCACTTACCGATATGAATTGGCCACCGAGATCGTGCGACTTGGCACCAGGGTAAATTTTTTTAGTAGAACTGCGTGAAAGACCACTTAAGCACTTGAAAACCAACATTTGTCAAGGTATGGCTGAGATACCGCTCAATATGTGCCAAAAAGTGTTCTCAAATTACACCGAACGAATTTGCTGGGTGGTCATTTGAATAGTGTAGTGTTTCACATACAATGCCAAGGCTCAAACTTTATAAGAAGAAAGGAATTATATGGAAACAATAATTTTTTTATTTACGTTTATTTCCGAAACCGTAAAATGAATTATCCCGTAGATTGCATTAACTAAAACTATGTAGTATTTCGCATTTTCTGTTTATTAATAAGTTAGAAATAATTGCAGCAAGTGATTGTGGGTTCACTTGAGATTTTTACTACATAAACTAATTACACACACACACGCACATACCATCCATACACAGAATAGTGTACGTATACCTGTCCATTGACGTACGTGAAGCTGCAGCGCGCATCAGCCACGACGAAAATACCACACATATTTTAGCACTCGGATATCCAGCAATGAGCTTACAAAGTTTATCGCCGTTCCATGGTAATTAAATTCCACTGAGGCGTTAATAAATTTTGCTGTGATAGCAGCAACAGCACAGCTACTGCCAAATGTTGCGCGAAACAATGGTTGGACTGGGCATGCAGAAGGTGTAATGTAGAAGTCGTCAGAATATCTATTGCCCGTTGACCCGTCCGTTCGACCGATGCGCAGCGAAGCTATACAAAACAATACGCTAATGGCTTAGACTGATAATGAAGCTGAGCTTGCGAAGGGGAGAAAGGACGGGAGGATGGATGTGGATGGAATGTACAATAGTAGAAATTCGCTTGGCTAGTTGGTTGCTTAATTGCTGCGGATTGCTATTTTATGGTTTGTTTATTTGTTGTTCTGTGTTTAGTATGAGTGGCGAGGACATACAGAAGTTGTATGGAAGTCCAAGGGGATTTTTTTGTTTACAAACTGCGCTACAGTCCAGAAAATTATAGAGACGTTCATCATTTTATTTTTAATTAACACCCAAGCAGAAAATTACGCATACTACTATGTTTTAGGGTAGTACAGAAGAAGTCCTGCGGTTAATCAATTAATATTCTGCACCATTTGCCATGTAGCGCACTCTACACGCAGAACTTTTTTAGTTTTTTCTGCATACTCTTAAGTTAGTTTGGAGCTGTTAAACTCTCGATTAATCACGCAAGTTATTTAGCAGAACATGAACTTGTTTGGAATATTTTGGTTCAAGCAGAATCAAAGGAAAAAAAAACTATTATACCCATAGCATGCACAAGCTGGTACTCTTGGGTTTATCCTTCTGAAATTAATCAATTAATCGGCTAGTCATCTGATTGACTGAGCCGGGGCCCGTATGAACTGTAGGTCCCTGCATTTGTTGGACAAACATCGAGACGCAAAACCACAAATTAAAGGAGCTCGGTCGAAATTCTTTTTAGCGTTTACAAAGCGCCAATTATACATATAAGTACTTGTCCGTCTCCAGATTGGAAAACTCTTAACCGGATCGGTCATTTTGTTATAAACGAAAGACATTTTTTATTGTGTTCTGGACCTGATTACGCTTTGAGGTTCCAATATATACTTTAACCACCAACTTGTAACAGCAAAGATATCCCCCCATCTGAGCTCCAAAGAACGTCCGTTAACAAACAAAAGGACGGTGCGACGAGAGCCGTCAGATTTTCTACTCAAATTGCACTCCTCCTATCTGAGTGCACTCATCAGAAACTCTGCTTTTCAAATTTCTACGTAAATCAACCAAAGAAACAATGGGTTTTCGGAAAGAACATAAAAACGGAGGGTAATATGAGGATGGCCTTTCCCCGGTGATGCAAGACGCATCTGAAAAAGAAGAAGATACCATGATTTGTCGGTATGTAGTGCTTGAGAAGTTGTTCAAGAAGGGTAATGCTCGAAATTTCTATGAACAGATACGGCGACACACAGAAGGCTTTAAGAGCAGAGTAAACTCTTTAGGACCCAGCGGAGATGGCGAATCCGATTCCTAATCGATGACGGTGAAACATATATTTTATTACGGATTGGCGGCCGAGCTATTTAAATTTGGCGGTGTAGAGCTGACTAAGAGGCATGCATCAGTTTCTTTGCAAAATATGGTCGGATGACAGCACGCCTGGCGATTGGAACCTGAGTGTGCTCTACTCAATCCATTTATTACCAAGGGATAAGCCTTCTCAGTAGCCGCAAAACTTATACGCGCTATGTAAACAGATGTTAAGCAACACAAAAAGCTGCGTCAGGATCGGGAAGGACCTCTCCGTTCGTTATCGAAAAGTTTTGCAAACATATGGTATTTTGCCTAGAGGTAATGGCCACTACCGCAAACGATGGATCGGTGATCTGTACTAGATAAAGAGTGAATTTGATGTAGTACAGCGAATGATGAGACAGAGGATTCGATGGCTAGGTCAAATGGACCGGATAGATGGCAACACTCCAGCTCTGAAAGTACTT